GTTCAGGTCGTCTGTGGATTTGGGCCTGGCGGTCAAGGCGTTACCGAAACGCCCTGGCGTCATGGTAAGACAGGAGCACTGCTTGCAGCCTTGTAGGTACGGAGCAGTAGTACCTGCTTCGAACTCGATCCAGCATATGTCGGTCTTTGTCTTGGGACGTCGCGCCTCAACTATTGGAAGAGCTCGGGCTGGTCATGCCAGTCCCATGTCTCCCGGAGACGATATGGGTGCAGATCAGCCTGCCTCGTATGTACACCTTGTTTGGTCGGCTGTACTACTTGGATGAGAGCCTCGCAGAGGGCGATTGGTGCCATGCTCCTGCGGTGAGGATGCAGTTAGTGCAAGATACCTGTCTGCCCAACCTGCTTCTGTGCCATTCCCGAGCCGCGCAAGAATCTGGCATGCCGGTGGAGGGTTGGGCAGGGAAATCGACCTGCACATCATCGCACTCCGGCCTGCCAACCTGCTTCAACAGTTCGTGCCAATGTGTCTGGGTGGAACCATGGTCATACATACTACTACTACTACATGACTGCATCCGAGACTGGTGAGGACATTGGCTGTGCGGCATGAGTGAGTAGCACTACTCCTACAAACTAGTACATCGCCCAACGGCCTGGTTTTCCTTTGCTGAACACGCCTTGCGCGTTGCTATTCGTTGCGTTCGACTGCACCGCCAAAGGAGAGGGCACACGCCAAGCCTATTCCGTTGCCATACCGATGACGACGACGATCGCTCCCCATGGCTTCTCAGCCCCAGCTTCAGGGTCCTTTTCGTCCCAAAAATACTTCGTGGTGCTGAGTAGGTATTACTGTGCTTGTCCGGTGGCCCGCGGCCGGCCGTCACGGCGCTCACTCACACTCTCGGGAGGCTTACACGTATGTATTGCCTCCTCGATCACGCGTTAGCCGGACAAGCAGGCTAATCGAGCTGGATCTGCGAGGTAAACAGCCCTCTCAGACTTGAGCGCTCAAGGAGGGCTTGCAGTATGAACATGCATCCGAAGTGCTGCCGTTCCGTTCTTGAAGAAGACGCCTGCCCAACATTGACTGAACCCTTGAATGCATCCGAACTGTTTGCGGATAGTTTCGGGACGACGGACGTGCAAGTTGGATTCACTCTGCCCAAACCTAGGGGTACCACTCTCAGCTGAGAGGTAGTAATATGTCGACGTAATTCTTACGGTAGCACCGCCGTGCCAGGAGTGTTGTCCCAAACAACCAAAAACTATCGATGACTCGGAACTAAATCAGTGTCTCGCAGACGACCTGGTCGGTGCGAGGCCGTGTGAAGCGAAAAAAGCCTGTTTACTACCCTGGACAATGTCAATCGGTGCTCAGTGAACGGGCATCTGGTTGATCAACCTGCAATCGTGGAGTTGTAAGGCTTGTGCATTGAGTGGGTGATCGCTGAGAATGGCCAAATCCGATCGACTCTCTTAACACTGTACTTATACCGTCGTACGAGTACTATTTGGCAGGTCCGCGAGGTGCATACATACAAGGCATCACTGAGCCCAATGGCTTAGATGCGTTCATCTCAACACCCGCATCGCCACTGCTGCGTCAGCCAGCTGAGTCTACCTTAGGCAGCCAACAGCTTGTACGTACTGTACTTCGTCATTCGTCTACACGCAACGGCAAGAGTCACGGTATGTATTAACAACCAAGGGCTTGCAAGGTAACGAGAGAATAGGCAGGCATGACGATCACGGTGTGGTCAGCCCTGCGTGAACGAACACCCGACGAGTCATCGACACCAGTCACGGCCAAGTGCAGACGCCACGCTCAGCACCGCAGAGCCTTGGAAGTTGGGAAGAGCAACACGAAGGCTGCCGGTTTGTCGGGGCAGAAAACCGGACCACCAGTCATCGACGAGCGTTCCAAGTGAGGATTCCGTCGGCCTTCGTTTGCTGCTTCGGCGTTGCCTAGAAGCAATACGGGTGTTGTACGTCGGTGGCCCCTCGGGTCGATGTGAGTGGTTGGGCGTTGTGATTGGATGCTCACGGCGCAAGAGGGCTCGCAACCGCCGGGTGATGGCTGGCTGGCTGACAACATCCTTTCGCCTTCGCGGTGCGAGAAATGCAGATGAGCTTGGCTTGGTCTGGATGCAAGTTGGTCACGCCTCTTTTTCGTTGCCTTGTTCCCCACCCCTCCGGGCTCCGGGGGTATCCGCCGAGGGAGCCGATCTTGGTCCAAGCAGGTTCCAGTTGCACCGGCCGTCGCCTCGCAAGTCACGTTAATACGTACTACCTTATTCTTATACTAGTACTAACAGGATGTTCAGTTTGTAAGCGTGGAACAACGGAGGGACCCGAAGCCTGTTCTTTTTTTCGCCTTCTTCCATCGTCTTCCTCGATCTTTTGCAGTGGAGACCGGGCGGTGAAGGGGGTTCCGGACGAGGCAGACGGATGCTCTGCAGTGACGCGCACACAATGTCCGGCCGTGCCTGGTGAGGTGAGGGGGAGGGGTAATCAATCAAGCGGGTAAAGCAGCTGGTAGATGCCTGGCTTGATCGCTTACGAGAGAATGTCTGGCATTACTGAAACTGCCTTGGCAACTGGATCATGCTACTACTACTACTGACTGAGTGTAATAGGACGACAATCATGACTTGGCTGGAAGGAAATAGAAGGAGAGGCGAGAGAGATTGACAGGAGCAACGATGTCTGTGACATAATTGACCGGCATCACCAACTGAGACACAACAAAGCATACCCGAGATCAGGCCCGAAGGGAAGCAAGGGAGCCTCGGCTTCCCGATCTCTTCCTGTACTCGTACGAACTCTCTTGAAACATGCATTCATTCTTGAAGAGGGGAAGAAAAAAAAAAGGAAACGAAATTCTGGCAGGCTTCCCCTCGTCAGCGTGGGGGGGAACCAATGATTCGGCAGCGAAAGAGGGGGCTGCGTGATTTCTCACGATGAAGCAACGGCTGCATGAATCTATCGACAGGTCAAGCCGGGGAGCTTTGTTTTTTGTGGATTTTATCCCGCTCACTTTTTCTTCTTCCTTTTTTTTTCCCTTTTACCCCTCTGCTATCTGACCCCTGTTGTGTGTCTCTTGGGAGAGGGAAACATGCAGGTCACTGCAGCTCTTATCACAGGAGAGCCGCACGACTGCATTAGTTGATTCCTGGACGGGGTGAGTTGGGCTCCTCACTCCTCTCGACTCTCCAGGAACGCGTATCCGGCTGCTGCTCGTTCATACCGCAAATTAGAGAAGAGGGGGCGGAGGCCTGAGAATGCGAAGAGTGAAAAGGAAAAGAATGTGTGACAGAATGAGAAGTTGCAGTCGTCCACGGTGTATAAGAGACCGCTAAGCGCGGATGCAGAATGACGCCAGCTGGGGAGGTTTGGGAATTCGTGCACTTTTGGTTACTCGGAGCTGTCTCCTGCCACTCACAGATTCTCATACAGGGACACGAGATTGTGCGTGTTTGAGTGAGTGCGAGTTCATGTTACGGCCTGGCATGAAACGGGTGAGACCAATGAAGGGTTGGTGGAATCTGTTTGGTGGTACTCTTATACCAGGCAAATGCCTCGCTGTTGGTGTTGAACATTGCGGAGATGCAGTTTGCTCGAGTATGAGAAGCTGGGCATCTCTGGGGAAGGCCTTGCAAGAGACAGCAGCGTCTCTCAATAAGCTCGACGACAGGAAGAGCATCCTTTGTGTCGAACTGACAGAGGTGAAGACGTCGCAGAAGCCATTCACAGTCGAAATGGAACCCAAAGTCAGGAGCCAGACCCCGAAGATGGAAGCCGAGAATCAAGCTCTGCCTGACTTGATTGCGTCCCAACCCCGACCCCCCAAGCATCTATGCCCAGAGTCCAATCTATCTAGCAATCTCTGTATGACGCTGCGAGGGCCCCTGATGCCGGGTTGCCTCGTTTCCTTGTTTGGGGCCCAATCAGAGAGGATTCTAGAAGAGCAGATATGCCATCTCGACGGGCGTACACTTGTACTGCACTACATACTGATACTGGCTTCTGCTGTCATTCGCGATGGCGAGCTTCTCCGGACTTGTTCCGTGTCCGAGATGGTCCTGCGGCGGCCCGCGCTCGAGGTTTGCTCGGTGATGACACGGCAAGGTGGGTTGAATTTATCGGGAGGATGTCCGGGTTGCTCTGTGACGACGGTCGGAAAATGATGATGACGATGACGATGATGCTGTTCATCTCGGAATCCGTGCGTTGCACCCGGTGCTGTCTGAAGGATGAAGGATGAAGGGCCTTGTGAGGAGTATTGGATCCTCGTCCTCATCCTGCAGGCTCGCTCATGACATGCAAGTACATAGTATTACCTGGTAAAGAGCTCGGACCAGCCCAGCGAGCAACATACGCGACAAGAAATGGAAATGCAAGAGAAATCAAAGAAAAAGGAAAACAGCAGACGGCATACTATTAGAAGCAGCATAGAATGTTCCGTCAAGTTCGTTCGTAGCGGCGGCCGGTAAGAAAGAAAAAAAAAGCAGCGCTTCTGCCCCCGGCCCTGTAATAAGTGTTCTGTCTGAGGGGTCGCGAAACAGCCCGCCTAAGCCGTGCCGGCCGGGGCTCGGCATGTGCAAGTGCAAGCGCAAGTGCATGCTGACATGCGAATGAATTGCGGCTTTCAGTTGCAGCAACATTTGAACTCGAGACCAACCAGATATACCTAGTAGACAGAAAAGGCAACAGACACCTCGGCTCCCGAGGCATCGCAGCCGCAACATACCTCCTGTTTCTATTCTTTCTTGGTTCCTTTCTCCTTGTTATTTGCAGCAGCATGCCCGTGTCCCGCCTGCGGCCATCATAACCGAGTCAACGAACCAGCCGATAGCCCAGACAATGACGATATCCGTCGACGAGTCTCGAATGCACGCAGTCCCCCCCTCCGTCGCCGTCATGGCCAGCGTCAACGGCCTCTCGACCGAGCACAACATTCACATTCAACATCACAGCCACAAGCACAAGGCCGGCGGCCCGGCTCAGTACGGCTCGCTGTACGATGCCTGCGTCGCCATGAGGGACAAGGTGGACGCCTTTCTGGCCGAGGAGCCGGCGACGGCGCTGCTGCGGAGGGCGCAGGAGCAGGCGCGCGTGTCGGTGCGCGTCGTGGAGGAGGCGCTGGAGAGATATCGGTGGGTTTTCTTCTTTATATATGACACGAGAAGGGTGGATTGCCGACTGACTTGAGAAACTACGACAGGCCGGAGGAGTTGTCCATATCATATAATGGCGGCAAAGACTGTACGAGAGCCCCCTTGAGTTCGATCTACGATCCGAGTCACAGCTTTTTGCGCCTCTGGGGATGGACGGGGGACATTTCGCTAATCGGTTTCGCAAAAAACAGGCCTCGTGATGCTCATTGTGCTGCTCGCCTGCTTCGCCCGTCGATACGCGCCCCCGAGACACGCTGCCCCCGGCGCAAACGCTCCCAACGGACCGTCTTCTTCTTCTTCTTCTTCCTCCTCCTCCTCCTCCTCCTCCCATCTGCCGCCCTTTCCCGAGAAGCTGCACGCCGTCTACATTGTGTCCACGGATCCCTTTGCCGAGGTGGACGACTTCGTCGAGGCCAGCAGCGCCGACTACCACCTGGACGTCAGCCGCTTCATGCTGCCGATGAAGAAGGGGCTGGAGGTGTTCAAGGCGCAGAACCCCAGCATACGGGCCATCTTCGTGGGGACGCGGCGGACGGATCCGCACGGCGAGAAGCTGAAGCACTTTGACCCGACGGACGAGGGGTGGCCTGATTTCATGCGGATACATCCGGTGATTGACTGGCATTACAGTGAGTTGCTGCTTTCTTGAGTTTTTGGTGGTTTTCTTCTTGGTTCTTGACGTTCAATGTTGCTAATGGGCTTTTGGTAAACAGCGGAGATTTGGGCTGTGAGTTTTTTTCTTTTTTGTCTCTGGAGTAAGATGCTTGAGATTTGGAGGAGGAACTGACGGGATGATTCTAGTTTACTCGACATTTGGAGGTTCCTTACTGCCCTCTGTATGACCAGGTATGTTTCTGATATTGCCATTGGAGGGGAGAAGAATACGGAAAGCTGACGAGCGTTGAAAAAGGGATACACGAGCCTTGGAGGAAGAAAAGATACGCTACCGAACCCTCGACTGAAGAAGGAAGGCAGCGATGATGAGTTTCGGCCGGCGTACGAGCTGGTAGACGACGACGAGGAGCGACTTGGCCGGCGTAGATGATGAGGGACGAGGAGAGATGCCTAGTGGTGGTCTTTTTGCTTCTGCCTTTTCCGCATCAAGCAAAGCAAGCTAGGTTGTGGAAACTTGGCAAGAAATTATATTCAGAGGCATGTGAGCAGAGTAAGGAATTTGGAGGAATAGATGGGGGTGGGAACTACGCATGGGTTTTGGTGTATGGCGTTGCGGGATAGAAATCAGCTATCACACACTTTTTCTCTTCTTTTACATCACCCTGCTATATATATACTACCTATATATAAAAGATGGTATATGTTGTCTTGTATCCTGACGGGACTTGTTGGATACTGGATGATGCGAGGTGACAATGTATTCGAAGGTGCATATAGCAATCGAGCTGCTGCTCTCTGCTTAGACGCCCCCTATTGTGCTGAGCTGGGTGGGATGGAGAGTCGACAATGGGGGACCGGCCGACAGGAGAGAGCTCCGAAACGTTGTTTTCAAAGACATGATGCCCACCATGTATTTCCTC